GAGACCCGCCCAACCAGAATCTTGAAGTCTCAGACTTTTTCCACCTTATGAGCTGTAAATTGATCTATTCAGTTAGAGAAACCTGGTTTTTATTGAGTAATTTCCTCTGAACGACCTCCAGTTTTGAAAATGTCCCCAAAGTTCTCTGACTATCCCCTCCCCCGCCGGGTCCCTGCATCAGTGCCTGTAAATCATGGGAGGCAGGCCTCCCACCCCTCCCCACCCCCGCCGGTCCCTTGCTGTTGGTCAGGTCCCCTGGTTAATCCTGATATGACACAGGGTCCTGCTTGGTGCAGAGACCTCAGATCTGTTTGTTCTGCTGGCCAGGTCCCAGCATGCACCTCGCCGAGCTCATATCCCGCTATAGCTCTGGAGCCCCCAGCTACAGCAGGGATTTCTAACTCATCCCAAGGAACGTCCGTCCTCCGCTTGGCCTTGATATCAAGGAAATTTCTCCAGTTTTCTTCTTTGCCCTCAAGTGGGGCCTCTTGCAGATGCACACAAGGGGCTCTTTATGAGAAGCATTGCCCATCACTTGCTTTTACATTGGATCTTTTATGCCAGGATCCCTCAAAGCATTTTCACAGACAAGTGTCATTGTCTCCCCCTTCCAGATGGCATAGAGAGGAAAGCACAGAAACTTAAGCAGTTCAACGAAGGTCGCTCAGAAAGTCAGAGCAGAGGTGGGAACAGAACCCGGAACTCCCCTCTCCCAAGCCTATCACCTGCTACTCCCTGGTGGAGCTGGGAAAAGCCAGCCTCTGTGAGGCCCCTTCCCATACTCCCTACAGCAGCATGCAACATGCCCCCTCCCCCCCACCCCCCTCACCCCCGCCTTACCAATCTTTGCTACCAAAGCTCAAAACGGTAATTCTGTCTTCCTAACTAGGATTGCACAGGTCTTTGGTTGCAAGGGGCCATTTTGCAAAATCAATTGAAGGCCGATGGACTTGCCAAGATCCAGTAGGGTGGGAGGGGGGCCTGAAAGCCCCCTCAGGAGGTGAGATGTAGGCGTCAGGCTCAAAAAGCAATTGCATTACCTGTGTGGCTAAGGTTTTACTGCCTGCTCAATCTGAAAGTTAGCAAAGTAGTAATCAATGAAAAGGAAATATAATTGAGAAGATTAAAAGCTGAGGGTGGGTATGGACTGGGGAGGGAAGTGATTGCTAAAGAGGTCCATTTGTATAATTCAAAGGTCGATGACTCTCATTAAACTCACATCTCCAGACACTCAGGGGATGAAAGAGAAACTCTCCATGCCGACTGGCTGACACCTAAGAGTTTCCTCCTGGCCACTTTCAAGGGTAGTGTGAGGCCAGAGGGGCTGAGAAGAGGTTGGAAAGAAAATTTAAGGGAATCCATAAGCAAAAGAACATTTGGATAAATGAAACACAAAACCAAGCCTCTGAGCCTTTTAAAAATGATATCCAAGTTTCTTTTAGCCTCTGAAGACTTGTTTACATGATCTGAATGGAAGCTGAACTGATGCCCAAGGAAGTTCTAGACTAGAACAGCCCTTGCTTTCTTTGTTTATATTCACACCCACCCTCCAACACACACACACTTTATCCTTACACAGAACACATGTGTTTCTATAGCTTTGGATCAGTAATGGGCTCTGGCTGACACCGCACTTTTATACGCAGATGTATTAACTGTATCTGTCTCTGAGACAAGGGACAGATTGTCTTGCACATTCCCACATTACTCCCTGGGAGACAAGGTATATATAAGGGTGCATATGTGTGTCTGTGTGTGTGTGTGTGTGTGTATTTACAGGTCTAAACTGAGACTTGGGGGCTGTGAGGTCCAGGAGGCCAGACCACCCCTCCCTGCTAGGACATGAACACCAGAGCAGACAATACTATGGTTTATCTTCCTGCTTTTGCTCTTCTTCTACTGAGGTTGCTTAACAAGTGGATGCCCAGTTTATCCAGGTCTGCCTTGCCCCTTCATACATCTTCTATTCTTATTGTCTACACCAGGAACCCCCTACAAGTATGCCTTAGAGACCATAGGATACAGATAGAGCTCTAAGATACAGCAAAAATATTTATTTGCTATTACTGCCTAACATATTATCACAAACTTAGCTGATGAAAACAAAAGGATTTTCCTCCTTCAGTTTGCAGGGGTCCAGAGTCTGGCATAACATGGATGGGTTTCTGCTCAGGGTCTCCCATAGCAGAAATCAGGGCCAGCCAGATTGCCATCTCTCCTGAGGCCTGAGATCCTCCTTCAAGCTCTTTCAGGGTGTCAGAATCCAGCTCATGGCAGTAAAGGACTGAGGTCCCTGTTTTCTTGTTGACTGTTAACTGGGGGCTATTTTCAGGTTCTGCTGCTTCTGCTAAGTCACTTCAGTTGTGTCCGACTCTGTGCGACCCCATAGATGGCAGCCCACCAGGCTCCTCTGTAGCCTTGGATTCTCCAGGCAAGAATACTGGAGTGGGTTGCCATTTCCTTCTCCAATGCATGAAAGTGAAAAGTGAAAGTGAAGTCGCTCGGTTGTGTCTGACTCTTAGCGACTACCTGGACTGCAGCCTACGAGGCTCCTCTGTCCATGGGATTTTCCAGGCAAGAGTACTGGAGTGGGGTGCCATTGCTTTCTCCGGTTTTCAGGTTCTAGAGGCTGGCTATTGTGCCTGGCTGTGAGGCTTCTCTGCAACAGAAGAGTGTTGTCCTTCAAGGCCAGCAGAGAATTCTCTACTGCTTTGAATCTTGGACACTGTCTGTCTCTGGCCTCTAGATCCAGATATAAAGGGTTCATATGGATAGGAATAGTTAATCCATTTTGATTAACTCAAACATGACTTACTAGTTACCTTAATAGCATATTGCAAACATAAAATCCCTTTTGTTATGTAATGTAAGATAATCACAGCAGTGATGGTTTATTTAGTTACCAGTGTTACCCACACTTCAGAGAAGATTAATCAAGAGTCAGGGTCATTGGTGGTGTCTAAGAATTCTACCTAACACAACAAATGAAAATAGTATTTTCTCATACAACACTTGGGACACACTTATATTTAAATACCATTTGTTGTTCATCTGAAGTTCAAATTTAAGCAGGCATCCTGTATTTTATCTGGCAATCCTAGATGCAGAACCTAGGGGCCTCTGCTACTCAAACAGGCCAAGACTGGCCTGCAGTAGGATAAGGCATTTCCTTTGTGAAGCAGGCAGCAGTAGAACTTTCTTCAGCTGGGGGCCCTTTGGTGATAAGAGAAGGCCTCTGTGGCCTGATTTCCACAGCATCACTGTTTCTGCTTCCCTCCCCCAGCTCCCTCAGCCCAGGGCTGTCAACACCCTGCAGACTCACAGAGAGCAATTGCTGTTCCCAGGCCCTGTGCGGAAGCAGCCCCGGGGGTCAGCCACTAAGTCTCACTTGCCTCAAGCACAGCCTGGTGCGTGGAGCAGGGAACAGGGGAGTGGAGGCCGAGGTGCTGAGGGAAACAGAAGCAACCCCAAGCTCTCCCCCTTCAGCCCGGTATGGGAAGATCCCTGTCCCAGAAGAAGCTCTCCTCTCAAGGTGGGCCATACAGGCTCTTTGGGCTGTGGAAAGCTCCCCTCACCAGCAGAGTTTTCCTTGTGAGAGAGGCTTGGCTCTCCTCACGGCTGCTCCAAATCCTTGCCAGCAACACTTCAAACTCTGGCCGGCCCAGTGTTACATTTTAACAGGCCAGGCCCTATTAGCCTGATCCTAGGATGGGTTATTCTTTCCAGTTTTCACTAACAAAAATCCCCTTTTATTTGGACACTCAAGTGGCCTCTAGGAACGAGGCTTTCATGAGTTGCCAAAAATGTTCGGATGCGGCAACATTTGTGTGTGTGGCCAATTACATCGTACCTCTGGGGCTGATCCCACAGGCTTTTCTCAGGCAAGACTTCTGTGAACTTCCAGCAGACCCCCCACCCTTTTTCTTGAGCTCTATCTGCAAGAGCAGGCTCTGGGTGGCTGCCTGGGCGGCTGGAGACGAGTTTATGCATAGAGTTCTTATTTGTATGAAATCAATCTGAGTGGGGAGAATGATTTATACGCGCACTAGTCAATGCATTATTAGAATTAATATCATTATTTCTCTGCTTCCCTTTTTAGGTTTTTCCTCTCATAAATCAATTTAGTTCGATAAGATTGGGCTGAGTTTTGGCTGCACACAGCTTGGAGTGTTCTGTGTGGTGGGAGCAAAGGACTATTTGGCAAGTTCAGACAATGCCTCCATTGTTTTCTGATTTATTGAAAGCTCAGCTTTTGCTAGTATTAGATGTACTCGTTGATGTTTTGCAAAGGAGGGATTAGTGAGGATTTTTTCTGACCCAAGAGCTATCTCCCTACAGCGTTGGTTCTTAGAGTCTCTGGTTTGTTGTAAGTTGCCTTTTCCATAGCTAAGTAATGGCCACTGAAAGGATGGGTAGGTGTTTTTATAATCATTCTCTCTTTCCATCTTCCTTTTTGGCCAAGACATACTAACTTGTCTTGTGTCTGCTCTGAGTTTCCTAACTGCCTGCAGAAGAGGATCTATTCAAGTCTTTTCCTTCATCATCACATTTATTAAATGTATCAGTTGTGCAATGTCTTTCTTATTGATGCACTCCCAGTGCCAAACCAGTGCAGGCCGGAGACTCGCATCAGAAATCCATGAATATGAGTATCTGGGGCATATTTAATAGGATTCTGATACTCTCTTTCATTAACCTCTTCATGCACCTCATGCAAACGTTGCCTCCACTGTATGCTTTTCAGAATCTGTCACAGAAGTCACTAGGGAAACCTATGGTATTTTTCTTATGAAAAGGACATCAGATATGTTTAAAAATTTCTTGTCTTTTTATGTTTTTTAATGTCTTTTAAAATGTCTTTATGTCTTTTAAAATGTTTAAAAAATTACTGTCTGCAACAGGAAATCAGGAAGAGCTGATGTGGCTTCAAACGCAATCATGGTTACTTTAACCTTAGTCTCTTTCACCCGCCATATCTTCACCCTGTCATCCTTACCCACCTGCTCACCAGCCTTCCAGGAGCTCCATGCAACAGCTTTTACTATCTGTATTTCTTGCCTGGGAATTCCTGTGCCTCTTTTCCTCTTTGCTCTGAAAGGGAAATAGAAAGAATAAACATAGGAGAACAGGCTGCAGTCCCACGGGCACATGCAGCTGCCGCTAAGAGGCATTTGGGTGTTAACCCCTCTGAAAGGTAAAAGTTGAAAGTGTTAATCGCTCATTTGTGTTTGACTCTTTGGACCCCACAGACTACAGCCTGCCAGGCTCCTCCATCCATGGGATTTTCCAGGCAAGAATACTGGAGTGGGTTGCCATTTCCTTCTCCAGGAAGGGAATCCTGACCAGGGGATCGTCCCGACCCAGGGATCGAACCTGCGTCTCCTCCCCTACTGACAAATTCTTTACCATCTGAGCCACCAGGGAAGCAGGGTGGCCAAGATCCTGGTAGTGCTTTGTTTGATTAATTCTAATAAAAATTGACATTTAAATAAGCCTTAAAGTGGTAGAGCTTCCAAACCCAGGGTCCTACATATAACAGTCACTCACTACACAGTTGTGGAATCAACTAGATTTTATATTGATTACCTCTTTCCTGTTTTAAGAAAAATTATTAAAAAACAAAACAAACCTTCCACAAGGGGTTATCATTATACCCTTAGTGACAATCTGCTGTCAGCGTTACAACGTGAGTCACCCTGCCCCAGTACATGGAGTTGGGAACTCACCGAGCAGCCTCAGTTTTCCTGGAAACGTAACATGAGCACAGCACGTCATACCATTCAGCAGTAGGAGTGTGTCAGTCACCTAGTCATGTCCAACTCTTTGTGACCCCATGGACTTGTAGCATGCCAGACTCCTCTGTCCAAGGAGCTCTCCACGTAAGAACACTGGAGTGGGTAGCCATTCCCTTCTCCGGGGCATCATCCCAACCCAGGGGTCGAACCTGGTCTGCCGCATTGCAAGCAGATTCTTAGCCATCTGAGCCACCACATCATTACCACTCCCCAGTCCCAGTTCACACGCCATCTCTGGCTAACACACACAAGTCTATTTCTCACAAGGAGGGGAACATTAGAAAGGAAAATGAATCAAGAAATTGCTTCTGGAAACTGAAAGCAAACCAGAGCAATGTATAGTCATGCCTCAAATGTTCATGGATTTGAGAATGTTCATGGATCCCTCTGGATAAGGATTCATTGTTTTTGAGAGAGTGTGATTCCTCAATGAAATCAGAAAGACTGGTCAGCTCCCACATCTGAAACATACAACCTGTGTAGCTCAGGCCAGTTAGCTGGTTTCCCTGAAGGTTCTTCCTTACCTATGAAATGAGGGTAACACTATTCTCCTTTTAGCTGCTATGAGGATTTCAAAAGACCTGCTTTGGCAAGAACTAGACCCTCAATAAATATGGTTTTCCCTTGCGGAATGTATGGAATATAATGCAGATTTATCTCAAGATGCTAGATTACATACATTTTAACTATCAGCTACTAGACTATGTCTTCACACAGTGAAGTAACTCAGAGGTTACCGCCTTATGTGTAACTCAATTTACTCTTACACTAAGCACTCCAGCTCATGTGTGGACCACTCTGACTGGCTTTACTTTGACACCCGAGAGGTTCTCAAGGGCTGGTGAGGCCAAGTGTGAGGGGTAGTCCTAGACTCTAAGCTGGTGTTGTGTGTCTTTGCCCCACACACCACTTTTCCACTCCATTGGTGTGATCCTAGTTTATTTCCTGCCTTCTCTATCCCTCTATCCTCCAGTGATACTTTCCATGGCTGTCATAGCCTCCCTTCTTTCTAATCTTCTGTTTTCTCATTTTGCTTCCTTTCCTCCAGTCTTCTCAGCCTTCTGTACCAGTGTGACGTGGCTGGTATCAACTGCTAACTGCCCAGCAAGAAACAGATGGCACACTCAAATCCAAAGAATTCTAGAAAGGTTTAATGAAAGGACTATTTGCAAAGTGTAGGCAGAGTATACCACATGAGAGATGGTCCAGTCCCCTGGGTCTAAAGACACGGGAGCTGTCACCACCTCTAGGCTCATAGAGGTAGGGAGAGGGAACCTGAAACTCAACTTCTAGAACCTAGAGAATGTCAGAGAGAGACTCAGTAGAGAGAATCAGGGCGATAAATACCTCAGATCTCTCTTCTCCCTCATTCCCACATCCTACAAGGGTTTCCCATTGGACAGACCCAATGAAAATCCAGACAGCAAGGCTTCCAGGGCCCAGAGTAAGGCAAAGAAGGGTAGAGGGTCCGGAGGAACACAGATACCAGAGAGAGCTTGTCTCACTCTGGCTCATGAACCCAGCACCCACCAGCACTCCAGAGAGCCAGAATTCTGAGTGGGAGGGATGTGGGATCATTGGGGTGTGGCTACCATTTTGTGCAAACTTGCAGGCTCAATTGTGTTTTTCATCTTCGTGCCATTTCTCCCTTCCTTTAATTTACTACAGCTTGATCTACATTTTATGGAGTTATTTTAAGCACACGCAGGAGATCTTCTTGCCATACACAGGGAACAATCAATGTTCTCACTTAATAATTCATTCTTTCATTAAATGCCCTAAGTAATTAAATAAAACATGAATAAATTCCACACTGATATTTGCTAAAGTTTTGTTTCTAGAGAATTTTACCTGTTGGCAGATAAGCTGGGACCATTTACAATATTGAACAGTGAAACAAGAGTGTAGAGTCACAGTCATTCTCATAGTTACCAAATGCTTACTAAGTACTGAATATTTTTTAGACATCACCTCAAATACTGAAATAGTCTAATGAAGTTTTAAAGAAACAGAGGCCCAGAGAAGCTCAGTGTCTTGCTCAAGGTCACATCAGGTAGAATCTGACAACAGGTTTTTCTGGCACCAAAGCCAGGCTTTTTCTATGATTTCCCCCACTCCGTCTTTCTAACATTTCTACAGGGAAGCAGGTGATAACAGAAAAAATACCCTAGTAAGTCAGAGTTATCCATATTTCAAAACACAGGTGCATGTGGTATGCATTAAAGAGAGAGAGCCAAGTGTGAATTTCAGAAGAAGGTGGTGGGAGACCACATCTGAGGAATGTTCTAGAACACTGGGATCCTGCAAGAAGGAGAGAAAACTGGCAGAAGATAAAATTTTCTGCTCTACTCATCCCCTGAGATCCTTTCTCCAAAGAAGTCCAGCCATGGGCCCAAATGTTTATCTCAGTTCTCCAAAGAAGCCCACACTCATTGAAGGTGACTGTATCCTAGCCCTGCTACAAATCTCTAAGAGGCCCACTGCTCCTGAAAAGGGCTTTCATATTAGTATTGGACTCACACTCTTTCCTAATAATTCATTTCCTTCGTGACCTCCCTGTTAGCACATTCTGATTGTTTCATATCATCATGAAATATACTCCTTTGTTTTCACATTACTTTTGTAGGTGGCGTGGATTGATTCCAAACCTCTGGAAAGTTCTCTAATGTTAGGATAGCCTCATCAGTCAGGGAGGAAACAGATTTCGATATATATCCTGATCACTCCCCCTACTCCATCCCAAAGAGCCCCTCCTCCTACATGTCCCTTTCAGAATAGTGGCCTGTCAGTCCCTTTGTGGGCTTCCCACTAGTGGTAAAGAACCCACCTGCCAATGTAGGAGACGTAAGAGATGTGGGTTCAATCCCTGAGTTGGGAAGACTGCCTGGATGAGGGCATGGCAACCCACTCCAGTATTCTTGCCTGGACAATTCTATGGACAGAGGAGCCTGATGGGCTATAGTCCATAGGATCACAAAGAGTCGGACACAACTGAAGCAACTTAGCACGCATGCATGCACACTCCCTTTGTGGCCTCGGTTACCCTTGAGTCCCGCTCCTCCCTCATGTCCACAGCAAATCAGTTGCCAAGCCTTGTTGGACCTGGGTTGTGAATCCCTTTCTCCTTTTTTTTCACAGGGATTACCACAGTTAAAGCTCTTATCTACTCTCCTTTGACACCCAATGAGCACTATAGGCTTTTTTTCCTGAACAACTGAACAAATAAACCATTTAAGATAGATTTTCCTAACCACCTCTTCACTCCCTACCCAGGTTCCACTGAGCCACTGGAGTTAACTTTGTTACACTTAGATTTGATCATTTCACTTCCTTATTTAACGTACCTTCTAATGTCTGCCAATTGCCTAAGAGAGTATTCCAAGTACTTTAACCTGATATAACAGGGACTTTACCCTTCTTTCCCAGTGCTCCCTACAGCCTACTCTGAACTCTATTCATTTGATCCTCCCTACTTCTTGCCTGGAGAATCCCAGGGATGGAGGAGCTTGGTGGGCTGCCATCTATGGGGTCGCACAGAGTCAGACACGAATGAAGAGACTTAGCAGCAGCAGCAGCAGCAACTTTGCTCATAGTGTCCTGTCTACCCACAACACTTATGGCCCTACTTTTTATAGCACCTCTTGCATAAGCATATCCCTGCTGCTAACCACTACACAATGAAGAGAAGAAATTCACTGGTCCAGATTGGCTTAGCTAGCTATAGCTAGGGGGACAAAGCCACTTTATATACACGCAGCCATAGGAGGGGACCACCCCAATTGTCTGCCTCATTTCCTATGTTGCCGTGAGAACACAGAGAAGACAGGCTTCATGACATGATCTCGTGTGGCAGACAGGATCCAGGCATCCCAGAGATCCGTCTGCCAACTGGGAGAGGCTGAAGCACGGGAATCACTTGTTATATTGGCTAGCTAACATGGTCTTCATTCACAGTCTACAGAAACAAAGTTCTCTAGTGGTTCCTTCTGGTTCTTGATAATTCAACCTTAAATTACCACGCACATCCTAAAGGAAGGAACAGAGGGTGAAAGAGGGGAATGGGGACAAGGCAACATCAGAGAGAAGCGGGTCACAGAAATCAACCCACTTCTCATGACACTGTTATTTTCTCCTCCTTTCTTCACTGGACTCATCCTTAAAGTGGAGGAGAGGTCAGAGTAGATTAGGATATTGTGACTGTCCTTTACCTGCAGAGTCTTTTCTTCAGAAGAGGTTTTAGTGGCACTCGAGAAGCATACCCGGCAGACATGGACTGGCTGGTGTACTGTGTGGCCC